ACAAATCTTTAATCTAAAATAGGCAAACCTATACACAGTAATTTGTTTTATGTACCTTTAACAACATGGATAAACGGTGGTGCCTGACCTGCAATATAATATTTATGAAGCAATAATAATACAGTTAACAAAGCCTTGAGTATGGTTAAATGACCTTTAATAAAAGTGCATGTATTCATAACCGTTCAAATGCTTTTTTGGTAATTCTCCGGAGAGTTATTACTCCAAACTTAATGAATACAAATGGTGGATGAGTATTAGTTTCCTGATTGTAATGCTAGTAATCGTAGCTGAGTACGACCATTCTCAGCAAAATCACTTAGGCCAAGCCATATTAAAAAAAAAACTGATCGTTCCTGCTCTCAGGTCTTTTTCATGCCTTGGAGATTTTTTAGGTTAAAATTCTGTGAAAAATTATGTACCTTCTTAATTCGATCTTTCCTACCGATAGGCCTACGATCTAATAACACTCCAATCCGTACATGTAACAGCGCTCTTGTGAAAATATTTTCAGGCCTAGCTGGTCTATTTTCAATTTTAAGAAGGCGTCAATCAATTAATCAATCAATCCTACACCCCCCCCCCCCGTATTCTTAAATTAATCATAAGGCTTTTCTCGTATTATTCAAATTTTCTGTATTAAATTCTAGAAAAATAGGCGTAAGCTGAGGCAAAGTGGACATAGCCTACATCATTCACTTGAACCACAATGAACTCCTTAAATCTCAGTAAACATTATTACGTCACAAGTATTATTTCCTTGCGTAGGCCTATTGCTGTTAAGTGGGTGATAATCATCCTTTATGGAAGATGATATGCCAAGATAATATTCTTTCCTGTTATTATTGAACATTTTGACAAAAACCATGGAGATGCTATTCTGACCCAATTTTTTTTTTGTATAAATGAACCAGTAAAATTTTTTTCAGACTCAGTGTTCTTATTTTTTGCCGATTTGAGGCCCAAAATGTTCTTTATTTTGTTCTTTTTTTATACGCACTTTTCGGACGCACTAAGTAGACCTATAAGTAGACCTAAAAATATATTTAAAGAAACATATATTTTTTCAATACAGTGAAAGTCAAAATAAAACACTTTGCCAATGTGAAGAGGGGTGACCCTACTCAGATCTAGAATTAAATCCTTTACCAACCAATCGCCAAACGCCAAAAGAATGGTAGTCTTAGTTCAGAAATATGACATAGCAGATTAAAAATTAAAACTTTACCATAGTCTTGTTGTTATTATGAGTAGACCTGAGATTTTACAGGCGAAGTAGTTTTAGGCTTTAAAGCCATGGTATTTGGTGTATATAGGATGGGTGAACTTACACAGAAATACCGATTTTGTGCCAAACTATTAAGTTGAACAACTTCGTATGGCTGATAAAAAAAATTTCTGTGTTTTTGTTACAGTATGCCCAGGGGTGGCAGCTCCCCCCCCCCCCCTGTTGGGGTGAAAAAGCAGAATTCGTCGGGGCCTGGTCTTACCCAATTGCCTGCGCCAAAAAAAAAATTGAGCTGTTTATAATATAAACAGCTCAAATTATATATATATACAGTATATTATACTGTACCCTGAGCAGATAACTATATTTGGCATAGGCCTAAACGTGGAGGTCATCCATGAGAAGCAAACATAAGAATCAAGGTCAATATGATAAAAGAAAAGTAGGACTATCTACAGTATTATGTACCATGGACTAGTGTTATAGAATACTATAATAATGTACTCTATAATACTCCCATGGTTTTACTTTTTGGGAAAAAATTGCCCAATTCAGGAAACGATCATACTACGCACACAATTACAACTGCACAAGAAAGAAGACCATGCAAAATTATCTTGGCGACTCTCCTTGGTCGCGATGCAAATGCCGGGCCTAACCACAACAAAATGAATGGAAATTTAAATAGAATATTCACGAATAATAGGTTTCACTCTTAAAACCGTTGACGGTTTTATTAAGTAGCCTCCAAATAAACTCGCAAGAATTGAAATGAAGCGGTGGTGCCGGGCCAAAGGCAGGAAAACTCGAAGGAAAACTCAACACATTCGTTAGGTGGGGGGGGGGGAATTATATGTAACTTATACGGTACAGGATATGAGGCTGTAAAATCGTTTACAGGCTTTAAGCATTCAAATTCACTATAGTTGTTAGAACTTCTGGGTGGTGGGGGGGGGGGGGTTGTCCTCTGGACCCCCTTCAGAGATTCCGGAATATCGCTCCTCCCCTACCGTTGAAAAATATTTAAAAAAAAATTTTTTAAATTTTCGTTGAAAATATTAGCAGTGGCGGATCAAGGAATTTATATATAGAGGGGGTGCGGGAAGGTTCTTTCACGATGGAGGATCTATACCACCTCAGCCCCACCATGCCGAGGAAACCTCCAGATAAATTATAATTTTATTTATATCTCCATTTGTTTTACCTTGAACAATGGGATATCAATCTTATGGTACAATAATTGTAATGAATTTAGTGTCTGTGCTGTAGTACAATTAAAAAAAATAGATAGAACTTGCAATTGCCAGAAAACTTCAAAGGTCGACTGTGCGGCCAACAGGGGGCTTCAACCACAGCATAATAAGGTAATTTTACCTTAGGTCCACAAAGTGCTAGCTAACAATTTGTATGAAACTTGGAGATTATCTTAGTATAGGTCCGTGAGATCAACTTTGAAAATATTTTGGCCCTTAAAATAAATTGAGAACCAAGGCCATAGAGATTGTTCTCCTCCTACCCTCTCGTGTTAGATAGTTTGATCCGCAATGGGCCAAATTCACCCTTGACGTTATGCACAGATAATGGACACCACCAGCTTATCTCTGTGGTTTCATATTAAATGTTACGGTTTACAGTATCTATGGTAAAAACTTGACATATCCAGTTGTGAATACTACCTTGAAGTGCCGTGGCGTACCGTATTTCAGTTCATAAAACAAAAGAAATAGAAGATAGAAATAAAAAGAATAAATAAAATAAATAAATAAAGAGAAAAAAAAATGTATTTGTATTTACTACATTTTAGTAGACCCCAAAACCGATTAAATAAGCCTTTGACACCCTTAAATTGCCATATTGTTGGGGAGCTTCTGCCCCTCATCTCGGACCCCCCCCCCCCTCGTTTGGCAAATCCTGGCGCCACTACTGAGAGATATGCATAAACAAAACGAACTACTGTATTAAAGGGGATGTATATGAGGTGATATGAAAGAACATCTAAAAAGTAGATACAAATAAAATACAAAAGAATCAAAATTACTGACAGTATATAGGCCTACAAGAGTTAAACATCACATTCCATCGAGACAATTTACAAGCTGTGTTAAAGTGAAAAATTAATGAAATATGAAAAGGGAAAGAACAATCGAATCTATATAAGGTAGTTCACAACCCATGAGAAAACATTAAAAATATGATAATGGGCAGCGTTAAATTAATGAAAATTAGCCCTGGGAAAACAAAATCTAGTGACCCTACGTAACAAATCTTTAAAATGTTAGTCCTATTGTTTTATTTTGTCTCAAGAAGATTACTTGGAGTAGTAATAAATAATTATATATTAGCCTAAAAGATAGAGAAAACAGAGAAATGTTCTTACCAGTAAGACGAGAATATCTGCGCCAACGTTAATACTGCTTGAAGAAGATTATAACGCAAGGTTTCAGCACAAAGTGTACAAGGTTTTATTTTGTCATAGTAGCAGTTGTGTTTTTGAGTATTATCATAAAGAAAATTCGCTATGGTATCGTATTACTGTGCCTCCTTTGTTACAATGCTTCTTGCTATATGTGATGTTGACAGATTTAATGGGAAAACCTCGAGTGTGCAATAACACTTAATTAACACTGCGTAAAACTGCACCAGCGACCGGCCCTGTTACACAGTACAGTATGTGCTTTCTCGATACAATGCACAATAAGCCTACAATAATTGAATTGGTTTTCATCAGGCCTACGGTACTCAGGACAGCTCTATATTCATTCAGGGGTAGGTTGTAAGCGATGTCTAACAGTCTAACTGGCGGCCGCCAATGCGACCAATAGGCTACTTAACCATAAGTCTGTTTTATAAATGACGGTGCCTCGGTTAAATTTACACATCGGTCAGTATGGCCTAACGGTATGATACTCACCTTAATAACGAGAGGCTGCAGGTTCGAATCCCGCTACACTTTTTTTTTTTAATCAACTAATAACATTATGATTATATTCGAGCACTGCTATTATTATTCTATTTGTGGTACCCGTGTTGCACAAGCGTTTGCCACTATAATCCAATGACGTACAGATGCATTTAAGATATATTTTTTTTATCCGACATCCCAGCGATGGAGGAGTAGCGATGTATGGAAACTTAACCAGTCGCATAGGCCTATTTACAATCGCTCATCTGTCATCTATGCTTGAAGCCGTAGGTCTGTAGCAGGACTAGAACTGTCTCTTATACACATCTAGATGTGTATAAGAGACAGAAAAACAAACAAAAAAACAATCCTGTTCAAATAATCTTTATAGACAGCTAGTAGTAACTTTTAATACAAGTTTCAAGATGGAACTCTTATTATGTGGTCAGTGCAATTTGTTGGTCGTTTATCTTCAAAAGGCTCCACTTTTTCCAAATTTGAACCCCCACAAAAAAATCCTAGTTACGGGCCTGTTGTTATATCCACTCGCTTTGAAAAGAAAAAAAAATCTCGAAAGAAGATTGCTTAAACTTAAAAAAAAAAAACAAACAAAAAAACAATCCTGTTCAAATAATCTTTATAGACAGCTAGTAGCAACTTTTAATACAAGTTTCAAGATGGAACTCTTATTATGTGGTCAGCGCAATTGGTTGGTCGTTAACATCTTCAAAAGACATCTTCCAAATTTGAACCCCCACAAAAATATCCTAGTTACGGGCCTGTTGTTATATCCACTTGCTTTGAAAAGTGAGGTTTTCAATTATAGAAAATTGGTGAAATTTTTTTGATTGATCATGATGATATTTCAAACTGACAAAATAATAAATAGACAGGCTGCCACCAACGTTCACCGCAAATCTTTCCCGGATCAGTACACTTTCTAAAAGGTGTTCGAACCTTCGTTGCATGTATCAGAATTATTAATTATTTATAATGGCTTGTTTTACTTTTTATAACCTAAATATTTTCATAAACTACACACGGCTGTGTTATAAGATTTATTGGTTAAATACTTATTAAATGTATCTTCTAAAATCTGCAGACATTTTCCCAAGGTTCATAATCGTATCGTCCAACCACGAAACATAATGGCGGAGCACCGAAAAGGCGTAAGGTCTTTCCACATGTTTGATATAATTCTTTGACGAAAAATACTGTTTTTTTAACCAGTAAATGACATCCAGGGGCAAAAGTGAATCAAGTAGTATGACAGGACTAGATAGATGCGACCATAATACGATGGAGTCGCCTGGGAGTTCGAATGGACTTTTTGATTTGGACCCGGGAACTTCTGCTAAGCCCGGGAAATATTCATTATCTGGTAAGCGCAGCTCAGCTGATGGTTTCTATCAGTCGCACGAATCACCTCGGTCAGCCTCAAGCTCTCGGCCATGCTCCAGACCTCAGTCGAGGCATGGTTCGCTTCCCGGATCCCGTATGGCATCAAGAACAAACAGCCAAGAATCCATCATAGATCTTTTCGACAATATTCTCACATTGAAGTAAGTACAGCAGTAGGCCTAGCTAGTAGTAGGCCTAGGCTAGTAGTAGTATTTGTTGTAGTAGCCTAGGCCTATGTAGGCTAGGCAGGATTGGTGGGGGCGGGGGTCTACGTGCCTGACAGGAGGTCCGAACCAAGTGGCGGTCAGGGCCTCGGTCAGGGCCCCGGAATAAAAAAACCCTGGTAGGGTTCACGGAGAGAGTTTTTAGTATAGGCCCTACCTAGGCCTAGGCCCATATTATGTTTTGCATTTACTTTCTAGACCACAATTACCACTGAATTGAAGAACAAATATGTGGATAGGTTTATTTATTATTTTTTGTCTGACGACCTCATCGTGGCATCGGGTGACTTGGATGCAGGCCTGCTCAACGGGGGAAAATGCACTGGACAGCACATGTGTGACAGCTGTCAACGTGTATGAATTCTTCAAATTAAATTGAATTGTTCAATAATATTCTTGCGGGAAATTTTATGAATATTTGCCAGACCAAACTTTATATAAATTTAAGAATACAGATACTAAGGATACCATTAAACCTGAAAAATGCTCAAATAGTTGTGGCAGTATTACAGTACATGTGTGAGATTTTAGAACTGTAAATGCAGATAAGGCCAATCTTAATCATTTGCCCTCAAAATTAACGTCTGCATTCGGCATGATAATATAAACGACAGCGTCTAGCCGCCCCAAAGCCGACAAAAAAATCTTGTGACGTAAAGCTTCTAGGCCTAGCCCAAGCTAACCCAGGCCTACGCTAGTCAACCTTGAAAGCAAGTTATTTAATGTCTTTTATATTGTGTTATTTATGAGTAAAATATGAATAAAATCAAACTGGATTGGTGTTTTATTGAAGAGTCCAAACTTACTGTACTGTACGATGAATCAAACCATTGAATTTCCAATAATCCAATTCGGCGATGTTTGTTTACATCCAGTCACGTGACATAACGTGTGTATACTGTACCATGGTAAACATTACAGTACAGTGCGGTAAGTATAGGAAAAGCTAATGCAACCCTCCACTATTAACGTGAGAAATGTCAAGGAATGTCTATATAATTGTTCAGAGTAGTTTTTATTTACTTTTTCTAGAGTTCTCCTAGCATTGTATGCTTTGAAATTTAAGTGATTCTTAGTGAACCTTTGCTAGCCTTAAGATCGTAGCATAGTTTGTGGGGCGAAGACCCTCATGCATACCTGAACAGGCCGTAGACGAGTAGGAGGCCTAGGCCTAACATTTGTCGAAAAATCTCAATGTTTGTGGCCATTATCTTTTTAAGCAAATTAGCAAAACCTAAAGGGAAAATTCTCAAGTACAATTTCCAATCAATTTGGTATAGTTCGCTGGGAAATACAATGATCTTTACAGCAATAACAAAGGACGGCTGCAATAGCAATCTCCAAGTAAATACTGCTGTGCCAGTCCATAATTGTTTACATCCAACACCCAAGTTAAGTCACTTGACGCTGACACCCATCACCGAATCGGTCTATTAAAACGATGTCCAAATATGTAGGGTCAAGTACTGTAGTGTTTACTCGAGCGTACGGTAGTCAAGTCGGGAATATAATAAATGTAAAAACAGGTAGAGTATTTTATTTTTGTAGTTAGTTTCATTTAATTTTTATTCATCATCATAACATTTTAAAACATTGTTCAACATTTTATCAATTACTGTAGTTGTGATCTTGAACATTATTATGTAGGGTAGGCTCTCCAGCTTGATTGGGTGACTTGAAAAGACATCCATCACTGCTGCTACAACAGTTAGTATGGGTTGATTTCAGGGCTGTAGCAGAAACTAAAAACTTTTTTAAAATGCAGACGTTCTATTACCGGTGTCAATTTTAAAGCGCCTGCAATTTCCTTTGCCGACATACTTTTTTCCTAATTTTGAGGGATGAATTATCATGAATAGCCTTTGTGTTACTGCATCAGGTACTCGCTTAATTTCCAATGTACTGCACCACCTCTATTTATAGTATGTGTACTTTCACGTTTTTTACGCAAGCACACTACTGTATACTTTTCAAATTTGATGTGTAACTTTTATGATTTAGATTTATACTATGTATTTATGTGAGGTTGCTAGCAATAGAAATGTTATTTTGATTCTTTGTTGCATATTACAGTAATAATAAGTCTGTGTTTGCATATATGCATTAAGACTTGATCAGACTTTGTAAACTCAAACATAATTGAGATCTTACGAATTTTGGAATAGATTGATAGGTCTATACAGGGGTTTTTGGCCCTGTAGTTACTGTAAAATGTTATCAATCAAAATACACAGTGAGAGTTTTGGTCAGCACTGAAGCTTAGAATTCAATTAAACCTTCTAGGCTAATTTGTTAAAATATAGGCAGTGGCTATATATTAATCCTGATTGGATGTTGTTGCTTTGATCAGAATAGGACAGTGACATCCAATCAGAATTAGGAATTTAAGACTGGGGTAACAATAGCAATAGCTGCAAAGAAAAAACAACACAAACATTTCATCAGAAGACTGTATTGCATAGGGTAATTATAATAATGCAGTAGGATGACTAGCAAATCTTGAAGTTGAAGGTTGTGTTCATTTTGGTCAACTGTTGAATAACCTTTCTGGTTGACTGATCCATCCATGCTTTGGTTGTCTAAGAGACAATGAATGGCAAGTGTATTGTAATGAATTTTGTCTTCCTTGTGCAAGTTTTATTATTAGTCACACTAGTACACATGTTATAATTGAGAACGCATTCCACATTTATACCTTTTCATTGCACTTCAGTTTTATGATCCATATTGTGTATTTTAGAATATAAAAAATATAAAAATCAAGTTTACTGTGGTTTCCAGGCATTTTATGGGACTTAGAATATTAATAAGAACAATGTATTTTTGAAACGAGTGAATACTGTAAAAATATTACATGTCAAAATATTTCTGTGTTCAACTTCAGCAGCCATAGAACAACTATCTTTTAAAGAAACCAAATTGTATTAAAGTAAACTAAAAAAAAATAACACTTTCCTATTAGATGCCAAAGCTACTGTACCTTGATTTTTTCTGGAGTTTAATACTGGTTTGACTATTTCATTAAATTGCTCTCCTTTCAATGGAACTCAGCTTTTTGCTCAAACTAAACAACTGACTACAGAACAAGGCTAGGTATATACACTTGTTCCACAAACACATGTTATCCCACAAACGCACACATTTTCATACGTATACGCTGTCGTTTTGTGGGACCTAGCCACAACATCCGAAGGGCGGGACTTATCAGAATAGTTCATTACATGTCATATAATTACATACCCTCTCGTTGAATATTGTATATTCTTGCGTATATAAGGTGATTTGCAAGGCAACACCCCCTGCCCCATCCACCATTTTGAGATTTTTGGAAGAATTTTGTATGTCGGGCGTGTACAGTAAGATGACCCCCCCCCCCAAACCCATTTCACTGTCGGAATTATTTGTTATTTATGCTGCTTTCTATGGTCTTGATACTGCATCTACTATAGCTGGCTTAAAATGGAACCAAATGTACAGTAGGGCTAATTTTCCATATAATAACATTTTATGGGCTTGTAAATGTTCATCAAAATTGAAAATTATGTTTATTTATTCTAACAGTTGAAGCAAGTATCTTAATTTCAGTAGTAAATTTACTGTACATGTCAGTCACGGACGATCCACACATTTAAAGATGAACATGATTTAAAAGTAAAAGATGTGTTGTAAGCATATAATTTGCTATTTTAAGCCTTGTTTTATACTCGAGAATATACAGTAACGCAGTGTACAAGTAGGCCTACCTTTTGAAAATTTGGGAATATCTACTGATATGCCTATTTCATTATTTATGATGGTATTGCATCATTCCACGCATGTCATGGTCCCAAGAGACTCAAACTGACAGCATACACTACCGTGTAATATTTTTGGAACGAAAACTTGTAGAATACCATAGATTTAAACTGATTGAATTACAGTGTAGTTCTTCCAAGTTCTAGCAAGTTCACACCTAACCTTTATAATAACTAATAATAACTAGAAATTGCAATTGCAAGTGAAGTGCTGCGAAGTACAACTGCATATAAATGTTCCTCGAACAAAATTATTTATGCGAGTCAAGTGAAAATAATGAATAATAAAAATATAAAAAATAATATGAGACACGACCCATTGTCTATATTAGAACACTTCTCATTACACATCTAGATGTGTATAAGAGACAGGTGTCTATAGTGGTGAATTATGGTTTAGGTTTTTTTAAATAAAGTTTCAAAAATTTCTATGTATGTGGAAAATGTAGTTGATTACCAAAGGTTACAATTTTTATTTTGAAGACTGCATGGTCTAGGAAGTGTACATTTTTTTATGGGGCAAGTTTCTAAAGGCAGGTTTTCTAGGGGCGAGTTGACTGCCAAAGAGTATTGCCAAAGTGCGAGCCAGCGTGTTATTTGATCACAAGTGCGAGACATCGCAAGTGTGAGCCAGCGAGCCATGACGTCACGACAATACTGTAGATACGAGACGTTACTCGAGTTGTGTGAGGTATTGGCTGAGATTTGTGGAGTACAATTCAAAAAACAACTATAGGTCTAATAATGAATTATTGTGATGTTAAATAGACAATGTTAGCTATCAAGGAGCGACGTTGTTTTTCATTGGGACCTTTGTCCCTTCAAGGCTAGGCCTATACCATCCTAGCTAGTCTAGGCCTAGAGTAGGATAAGGCTAGCGCGACATGCGGACGTTGGTACGTGTTGGTTAGTCTACAAACGTCGCCTAAAGTAATTGGTTTTACCCGGCAGAACGAAAGAAGGAAACTCCACTTTTCATTCGTCTTAGGCCCTTGTTTTTTGACAAACAATGACCTTTCAGAGGTCAAATTGCTGTCAAGAATATGAATTGGCTGCTTCGAAGCAATTATAATTGACTTGATGTTTCAAAACAATTAACTTGTTTTGAAATTAATATTTTTATGCAGTGCTGCATTTAACAAA